GATGAGAGACATCTATATATATGTATCACCCTATTTTTGGGTCTCGTGTCTGAAACATTAGTTATTCTCCATATAGCCTGCTTGTCACTAGTACTTCTATGGAGTACTGACCCCTCCGGGGGCCCTCACATTTTTCAGGTTAAGGCTAGAGTCCTACTACCTGCACCTTTGCCTAGGGTGATCGTCCAAGGAGGAAGACGTGGTTCGTACTTCCATTCGTATTTGAAATTTATAAACTGCTCATGGATTTTTGAACAATGTTTTCATTAAAACAGTTAGGGGCCTGCGTGCCCGTGTTTGCCACGTGTGGCTAAGTATCAAACATATTATTATTTCCGCATTTGTTTGATTATGATATTGATGTTGATCGTATGTGTTTACTAATCGGTTTGGCAATAGAATCAATCGGACGCCTTGTACAATTCAATAGGGATGAACTGTTGTTGTTCTTAACGGGTTGTACGGCGGTTGTCTACGTGGCTCGAATGCGGTCCAGGGCGTGACACGGCATACCTCGGTCACATAGAAATCCTGACGCACTCTTCCACTTCATCCACCCTGTTCTGATTCTATGGGATACATCTCCATCTAACTCACCGTCCTTCTGAATTATGGAGCCCAAGTAACGGAACATATCGCTGACTGGTATCTCCTTACCATCCAGAGTAATTCCGCTATTACCACTACTTCTACCTCCACCAAACTTGCACTCCATGTACTCTGTCTTGCTCCGACTTAGTTTGAAACCCTTATTCTTCAATGTTTGTCGCCATACTTCCAACTTTGCTTTAAGACCTGATTGCGTCTCATCAATCAATACAATATCGTCGGCAAACATCATGCACCATGGTATATCGTCTTGAATTGACTTCGTAAGTTCATCCATGACTATGTCAAATAAGAAAGGACTCAAGGCTGATCCTTGGTGCACTCCGATAGTAATAGCGAACTCTTCAGTCCTCCCTACACTAGTACGAACACTTGTAGTACAATCCTCATACATATCCATGATGATGCTGATATACTTGCGTGATATGCTTTGTTGAAGATCTCCCTCAAACCTTCACCACTTTATAAACATTAACAATAATTAATTATATTTAATATATTTCACTAATTAATATGTATGAACATTAATATATAAAAATTTCACTAAAGTTTACTAAAATTAACTAACGTTCAATTAATATTATTAATTAACTAATAAATTAAATACACAGTAATTTAACCAACATTTAAATTAAACGAAATTCAAATAATTCACAGTAATAATTCATTGACCACCTAAAAATTCACACTAAAGTAATGTTTAAATCCTAACTTAAAGCATTATAAATCCTAAATTAAAGGCATTAACAAAACTTGCTAAAATTTAGTATATATTTCAAAACGAATTTCAAACAAACATTTTAATTAACTAAAAATGTGAAGGGCATTTTAATTGAATTACTATTATTATTACCTAAAACTCTGAAAGGTTTTTGACTAAAAGGCATAAACAAACCTAATATTTTTATAAACCCATTTGAATTAACTAATATTTAAATGTAACTAATATCATCAATTGAAATCCTAAATTAACGGTATTACCAATAATTGAAAAATTAATATACATTTCCAAACGAATTTCAAATATATGCACAGTAAATTATAACATCACTAACATGCATTTGAAGTTAAATACTACGTATATTGTTAATGAATTAACAACCTCACTAACAATTTTAATTATTTAAAACAAAAAATTATAATATTTAGCATTAAAAAAGATACATATTTCAAATGACATACCTTATCTGCATAGGTAGGGAAAATGACATAAGATTACACCCTTCAATCTTTCAACAGATATTGTATTATACTCTGATTGAGTTTCAACTGGTATGAGTCGGATGAAAATGTTCTTGCATATATAAAACACCAAGTCACGGACTTTGTCACGGATTGTTCCGTGACAACCTCTATTCGTACAACATTAATTTGGTGACCGTGGGGTATAGAAATTATTGAGCTTTGTCAGGGATTTTTTCACGGATCCGTCCGTGACAAACAAAAAAAAATTAATAGTTTTGTCTCGGATTTCGTCTGTGACAAAACTCCGGAATAAAAAAAATCTGCCGGCATAAGTTTTCAGTCACTGGAGCTGTTTTGTCACGGATTTCGTCCGTGACAAAAGTTTTGTCACGAAGGTTAGGGTTGGCGGACTAATAGCCTCGACTAAGATGATGAGGTGGGCTGTTTTTGCCATTTCACTAATCCATTTGCCAACTCAGCGTTTTAGACGCTCTAATACCCGTTAGGACTAAATTAGCACTAATATTTCGAGTTAAGGTACACTTACACTTTGATGCACTCTTTACTCTCTCGCCTACAAGTCTACAACTTCATGTACTCATTTGACCTTTTTGTAAAAAAATACTTCACACTTCAACATCCAACGATTTGAAAAAATTAAAAAGAGAAGCACTCTTATATAAGATCGATTATGGATCAATTACATCCGTCAATAATAATTAAAGAATAAAATCTTAGATGGATAAACATCCGTGAATTTAAGATTTCTGAGCACGTTTGACATATTTGTTTGATAAACCTTGCCATTATCAAGACATTTTAAATATAACAGGCCCTGCACTTTAGATTTTTCGAATTGAGGATTACTCGTAGATAATAGATTGATAGTAGCCGATTTTTTATCTAATTAAATAGCTGCTAATAAAAAATGTCGAGTAATTAAACTATTTACAGCTATCTGTTAAAATGTGAAATGATCATTAAAATATGAGATACAAGTACACACACATGTAACTCAACTTTTTATATTTTTATTTGTTTGTAATGTTTGGAAGAAGTTTTAAAGATTACAATTGCTATTACGTTATACAATTACTGCTAATTGCTATTACGTTATACAATTACTGCTAATATTGTATTTAATACATATATAATTGTACACATGCACACAGTGCACATACATATGCTCTCTTATGTTTAATATTAATATTTTAAATAACACTTTTTTTTTACTAATTTTTAAAATATTATTGGAAAATAGAAATACTCCGTAATTTTTATAATGACATTTCTTATCATTGTTATCACGATAGTTACTTTTTTTATACATTTAATTCACGCTTTTTAGTTTTGAATAATTATAAAATAACAAATGATAGCGGTAAAATAGAGGATGTATTAAGGTTCAAAAATGTATTCATCAAAGCAGCTTTTACATTTTTTAGTTTTTCCGTACTAAACAATTAACTTAAAAAATGGTTACCAAACTTCAAAACAATTACGGAGTATGTGGCATGATTAAAATAGCCAAAATCAATTCAAAAATTTAAAAATGATGGTTATAGATGACATCTTATACGGAGTAACTAAAATAAAAATGATGTAAAAGTGTGATATTTTAAAGGGAAAATCGAAACTAATAATCCAACCTTTTAGCGGTCTTGTTACAATAGTCTCACCTTTTGATTATTCGGGAATAATCCAACCTTTGCACCCCATCTTCATTCAATGATCCCTGATCGGTTGATGATCTGCTATTTCAAGTTATTTTCTTATCTTTGCAATATATTATACCATAAATCTCACATTATGGTCACATAATGTTTAGCAAAGATAAGAAAATAACTTGGAATAGCAGGTCATCTACCGGTTATGGACCATTGAATGAAGATGAGGTTGGATTATCACATTAAGAAGATCGCTAAAAGATTGATTATTCCTGAACAGGGCCGGCCCTGGCGGTGTGCAGGGTGTCCAACCGCACAGGGCCCAAAAATTTGGAAGGGCCCAATTTTTTTTGTAGTAGTATACTAGTACTCCCTCCGTCCCAATTTGATTTGCAAAATTTCCTATTTTGGTTGTCCCAAAATGGTTTTCCACTTTCTATTTTAGGCATGTAGATAAGAATAAAGTGACAAATTTACCCTTACTTTTACATTTTTTCCATTAACTTAAAGACATCTATTTTTAGGAAGATGGGTAAAAGTGTAAAAAGCAAGCATCACTTATTGTTCTGCCTTAATCCTTGTGTCAGTCAAAGTTTGCAATTCAATTCGGGACGGATGGAGTGTTAGTTAGAGATGGTTTCCGTTCGGTTTTGATATAAAACCAAATGAATTACAAAAAATTGGACTAGGGCAAGGCTTTGAAGCATGCCTGGTTCGCCACTTCGCGTATTCCTCATCTACAAAGGAGGATCGTATATATAGGAACGAAGGAGTATTAAATCCTCCGTTTCCACCGGTGTGAGAATCTTACACTTTAGAAACAAAAAAGAAAAGAAGTGAGGCATGCGAGATTCGAACCCAAGTGAAAATAAAAGCATGCACACTGATTTCTAAACATCACTTACTGGACCAAATCAACTAATTGTTGAAATAAGGACGTACAAGCTTTATATTACCTATTTGTTCTACAAAATAAATAATTAAAAATACCTCTTAATAAAAATCGATTCGGTTCGGTTTGAACCGATTTTATAATTCAAAAAACCTTCATTAAACCGATTTATGTTCGAGTCCCGACTTTCGGGTCCCGTTTGAGTCGGTGCGGTTTTGGTTCGGTTTTTTTAACTTGTGTTGAAACTTTGAAAAGAAAGTCCAATTATTTTTGTTGCATAGGGCCTTCATTTCCTCAGGACCGGCCCTGTTCCTGAATAATCAAAAGGTGGGACTATTGTAAGAAGACCGCTAAAATGTTGAATTATTAATTTCAATTTTCCCTATTTTAAATGTAGTATATATAACCGAAAATTTTAGTTTCTATTTTTGTATTCAATTTTCACACTTAGATAACTCCATATTAAAAAAAAAACTTGTTTGTAAACACTCATCATCTAATTATAATCGCCAAAATCACTCCAAAAATTAAATTAAAAATGATGCGGTTTCCTGAAGACCCGTCATCTACTTATAATATGGGGTCCATCAGAAGTAAATCGCATGTACTATTCTACATAAATCCCTAGCCGAAGGCCTTAATGTGATCGGACAGCGAAATAAATAAACCATGATAATGATAGATGTGGACATCCATAATTAATGATATTGAGGTTGATACAAACTGCTAATCACTGCCGGAATTTATTCTCAAAAAAATCCATAAAAGGAAATCATTTATACAATCCTAAAATTTTCTGTTTGATCTCTTGCCTAATCTGACAAAAAGAGATTAACACCAAGTTGACCTGAGTTTAGCAGCGAAAAATAAGATACAGAGACTTGAATATCAACTGCTGGGCCGCTGCATCGGATTACAGCTATGGAGGTTGAAATTAGGGTTCATGGGGATGGAGACGTTATTGAAGGGTAAAGATGAAGACGTTTGGGGGTTGAAATTGAACGATGAGGATGAAGATGGAGACGATTCGAGCTTTTTCCCATACGCTTCCAAGGATTTGATTTGGGACTGCAGAAATTTCAGATAACTTGCGGCTTCGTCGAGCATGGATGCCGTATCCAATTTCGTCCCGCCCGGTACCAACCGCTGCAAAACCCTAATCCGTTGGCTGATCCTCTCGCGGCGTTGCCGCGCCGCCACCGTCTGCGGATCCGTCGATATCCTCACGTTCTTCCTCCTCGGCTTCTCCGCCACTTCCTCCCCGAAATTCACCGGCCGAAACGCCGCCGCCCGGTAGATCATCTCCTTGATCTGCGTTATCGCCTCCGAGTCCGGCTCCTCGATGGACGAAACCGACGAGCTCTGCTGCTGAAAATTGATGTTCGATGAGCTCTGGCACCGGCTGTCTGTTCTGCATCTCTTCACTTTCGGTTGGATATTTTCCGAACCGAGATTGTAGTCGGAGGAGGGGACAGCTCCCGTAACGGCGACAGTTCGGGCGACGGAATCATCGAGGCAGGCGGATTCGCCGGGCGAAACCGCATTTCCGGCGTTAAGGCACCACAACCTCTCGCGATCGGCCGAGAAAAGCATGGAAATGCCGTCGTCTGCAGCGGACGCGTCGGTGGTGCTCTTCGTCGTAGAAAACAAGCAATCGAGCGGTTCCAGAGAGCCGCGGGCCGGCGGTGGCCCGATTCCCCGGAATTCACACGAATCTCCCGGTAAACCGGCGATGTCTCTGTCCAAAACAAACCGGGGTCGAATTACCGCCTCTTGACCGGAATGGGAAATTCCACTTGACAACCCGCCGTTCCATGGCAGTCTAGCTAGCGGACCGGAACGAGCCGCCATGGAATCCGCCGCCATTCTGGAAGCCGCCTCTTGGCGGCGCGGCAAGTTCCAATTAGAAACCATATCAATTGGATCAAAGGGGGCTGCTGAAACACCGTCCATCCGCGGCGGTAGGCCAGTCATGGTGGCTATTCCAGGAGAAGTCGGACCCGAACCGGCAGCATGAAACGGTTCGTTCCAATCCCTGATATCCAAATCCATATCTATATACGAAGTATATATTAAATAAACAGAGAAGAGTGAATGAATATATAGCGCCGCGGGTGCTGGATCTGTATATAAGATGGAGAAGCCTAGCTAAGCTCCAATGCCTCCAAGTCTAAGTAACGAACTTCTGATAGAGATAAATAATGTGGGATAATGTACAAAAATAGTAAATTCGTGACGACGTAAGTTTTCGCCAACAAGAATTTTGTCCACTTGCATGCAATGTACAATCTATTACAAAAATGATGTTTCTACACACTCTTATACACACTTTTGTACACACCTATGTCTGTGAAAGCTTTTTTTTGTCTGTGAACATCGATTCATAGACAATGTTTTGCACAGACAAAAAAAAACTTCACAAACATGGTATGTATAAGATGTGTATATAGTTGATATGATTAACATCAACATTATGCCATGATAGCATTATACGGAGTATAAATATATATTATATTTTCCAGAACTTAGAAGAAGTCCGATATGAAATAAATATATATATAAATTATACCTTATGTAGTGTGGTGCGTATTTGGTAGATCGAATATATACGTGCTATATAAATACATATACTACGTATAAATTAATTAAGTAGGCCGGATATAGTAAGTCGTAGAACCTCAAGTAGTTAAGGACCTCCGGCCAGCTTTGACCGAGTGAACAAAAGTATATTTCTGTCCCTTAAAATTTTGATAACTTTCCTTTTTTGAATGTCGCACTAACTTTGTCTTTTTTCCTTTTAAGTAAAAAATTTGTGATTCCAGTTAATTATATCCTCTGCATAAACTTCTACCACATAATTTTTACCTCATTAATCTCGGTGCCGGTCAAACTTAGTAAAGTTTTAAGGGACGGATGGAGTATTGTTTAAAAAGTTTAAAAAGTGTGATGGACGAGTTTCATTTACACAAATTGAGTTAAAAGTTTTGTTGAGACGTTCTAATGACAAATGTTGTCCTTACACTACGTATAAGAGTATGTAAGTGTATACTAATAATCTTTGTGTCCGGCCAGGCCGGACAGGTACTTCGTCCGGTCACCTCAATTTGAGGTAGTTCCCGCTGGTATTTTTTGTTGAAATTTTTTGTGTATATCATTAAGTCTAGTTTATCTATACCAAATTTCAGAAAACAATTCAATCGGGAAGGTTATCAAATGATTTTTGCATGATAACTGCGTTTTATATGTATATTACGGACCAATTATCATGCAAAACTCATTTGACGATCTTGCCGATTGAATTTTTTGCTTAAATTTGGTATGGATGAACTAGAATTGATGATGAACATACACAGAAAATTTGAGCAAAAAATACTACCGGGAACCACCTGAAATGCAGGTGGCCGGAGGAGCCTCCTGTCCAGCCTGGCCAGACAGGAATGTTACTTTGTAAGTGTATACTCCCTCCATGCCGAAAGGGTTTGTCATATTGATTTTGCTGGGTCAATAATGATAAACTTTGAACAATGATTTTATTTATTATATTGATGTATAATTTATAAATTTTATACTTTTATGAAAATACGTTGAATAAGAAACGTTTTGATGTAGTTTTCATATTTTAAGTAATTTCTTATTAAATAATATCATTTGTCAAAGTTTATTATCATTGGTAAAAAGTCAATTTGGCGAATTGGATTTTGTCAAGTTGGTTAAATTAATTTGCGGAAAAATGGAAGATAGTTGCATGTTAGATGTTGAAGTATATATGTGTAATAAGATTATAAGAAAAGGGCATGATATAGAGCCTGTTTGGTACCTTTTTTTCGTCTTATCAGCCAACTTTTTCACCAAACACGTAACTTTTGATTTCGCGCGCTAAATTTTTAAATAAGCAGAAAAAATAAGATTGGAGTTACTTTTCTGGTTGTATTGTCTGAAGTTACTGTAGAGGATCATTTTAGCTATTGTTCATATAATTTTTATTTAATTTATTAATAACAAATACTTTAAATATAATTTTTTCATGAATCAGCAGAATAAGCCAATACAACCACTTCAGTCAGAACTTAATAAATTTTAGCAGAATCAGTCAATTTTAGTGTTATCAAACGGGCTCATAATATAGTTATAATATACTCCCTTCATCCCTAAAACGATTGTCAAGTTTGACCGGCACGTAGAATAATAAAGTAAAAACTGTTTGGTAGAGATTTGTGCAGAGGAAAGAGAAATAACAGGCACAACAAATTGATTGACTAAAAGGGAAAGTGACAAAGTTTTTAGGACAACCAAAATGGAAAGTTGACAAAGTTATAAGGGACGGAGAGAGTACGAAGTAGCATATATCAATTAGACCTGGACAAAACCGGGCTGGCTCGCCCGGCCCGCTCAGCCCGCCCGCACAAATGGGCGGGCTTGGGCATATATATTTACCCACCGGCCCGGCCCGAGCCCGGCCCGCAATAAGATATGGGCGGGCTTGGGTTAGGGTGTAGGCCCGTTCGGACCGATACGCCCGGCCCGCTACATTTAGTATATATAAATATATATATTTATATATATACTAATTTATTTATTTATTTTCATATACACATGTATATTTATATTTACTAATTTTTCTTTATACATATTTATAGTTTATAATGTTTAAATTTAATTTTTTAGTTCTTAACAACTAGCCCAACCAATATAATATCTAGTTTTGTACTTAAAGATAAGACTTTGTGCTTAAATTTTCAATTTTAGATATAGTTTCTAATTATTATTTTTGTGTAAGTATTTTTTTTGTATGTGGTGAAAGACGTATAAACATTATAAGCGTATCAATTATTTTCTAAATGTTGTAATATTTTTTTAAGTATTTAAAAAATCATATAATTTTGAAAAAATTAAAGTTTTCCCAGGCCGGGCGGCCCGATGGACTACCCGGCCCGCTCTTATGGACGGATATGGACATAGGATTAGGTCCGTTTCTGCGGGCCGGGCCGGACCCGCCCATACATGATGGGCAGAAAATTTATAAAAAGCCCGGCCTGAGTTCGGACAGAACCCGTTTTTGTACAGGTCTAAATGTCTAATATCAATCAATCATGAAGTGGACACCGATGAGGCCGCAAGTTGGAGGTGAGGTGCCCAGGGAAGGGCAGGCATAATTTTGCACAAACTGTAATTCCTTGTCAGTTTTTGTTTACTTGTTTCGGATGGGTGATCTTATTGTTACTTGCTCCGTTTATTGTTTCCGATGATAATCACTAGTGTGGGCATATTAATTTAGTTTAATTGAATCCAATCAGATTAAACTGAATTAAATTTAATCAAAAATGAGTGATATATAATTTGATTTGAGTTTGATAGCGTTTTTTCAAACTGTGTTAAATTGAATCGAACTAAAACCGACAAAAAGTAAATAAGACCGAATCGAATTAAAGAAATTTAATTAAATTCCCACATATCATTAAAGAATAACAACTTCAAACCGAACTGGACCGAAAGATAGTATGATTTTTGTTTGATAATCATTCTACCGACTGAATCGAACCAAACCTAAAACCGACAAAGCTAAATTGAAAACCGATATGCCCACCCATAATTATGACAAATGCTAAAATATACTCTGTGCTACGTAGTATATATTTATTTGAATTAGTAATTGAAATTAACACAGTATCTCATTACATTGAAAGTTTTATTGAATCATAAAATCAAATTTAATTCGTTTTTGTTTTTGCTCGAGTAGTTGTAAATCTTGATTACCTTTAAATATTTTCATATTCATTATTTACAAACAGTGCATTTAAGAAATACCACAGTTGTTTTTAATTGCTTATAACATGTTAACTAGTGTAACACCCAGGGCATGTCCCGGTAGTGTTAATTTGACATGGATCAGGTGAAATAAACATGGTAAACTATTCATAAGATATGATTAAAATTTTGATGATTGCTTTTATGAACTAAGCACCACCATGGAATACGAGTGAAGAATCACCATTTTTTGGAGTACTAATTTGTGGTTATAATTTTGGTTTATGCATGTGCTTATTGTTGTAAAAGTTATTAATTATAGGATTAACCACCACCGTGGAATACTCCACTAATTTTAGGGCTAATTAAATGATAAGCAAGGAGTGATAAGAAGAAGTGTTGAATTAGAATTGGGAATATGTAGAGTTTATAATTTACATTATTTTGGATATTCACATGTATTATTGATATTGTACGATTAGAGTCTTGCCCACGTGATTTAAAGTTTCATTATTTAAAAAATTGAAATATTTCAAAATTGAGTGTACATTATAGTGTGAACTATTTATGACTACTACCACTAACACCCGTCCACGTGAATTAAAGTTTCCTGAATATTTCATTGCGTGGAACCTACATAATGTCAAATGTTAGTTATTTAACGCTTCCCACCTATTTTCCCCCTTTTTCATTATAGTTGATCCATCTCCTTTTTGTTTGGAACTAATTAAATGTTTTCATAATAAAGATAATAGAATTTTTGTTGACCAATAACAGAGTGACATACTACGTATATGTTAGCAGTTTAAAATCCCGTTTTACTAAATAAAATAATAAATTTAAATATTTAATGAAATTGGATTACTTATATGTGTCACGACTATTGTGTAAATGTGTGTTTCCCATAATGCACATTTAAACTCAAAATTTACTATAGATATTATATATCATTGATTTATAGCTCAATTATTACAATAGTTTTTATATATATGTAATTTGGTGTCATATGAAAGATCATAAAATTTTACGATTTTTTATATATGTTTTATTAAATTTGGAGTGATGCACTGAATGAGTTGATTGGATTAAAATGAATAGAAGTGATGCACCGAGTGAATAGCAGTGATATACCGAGTGAATAACAGTGATGCACTGAGTGAACTTAGATTAATTAAATGATTTAGTAATGCTGATAATGAAATTTTTATTAACCAATATAAGACTCACACATCATTGATTCATACTTAAGTTTTATTATATAAAAATAATAATATTTTTATTTTATATATGCAATATTGGTTTAATATGAAAGATTACAAAACTTATGAATTTTGATACATTTCTTATAAATATTGGATTACAATAAAAGAACAAAAAAATCTCCTCCACCCCCTTTCTCTAGATAAGTTGACGTGATTAAAGTAAATCA